CCTCTTCACTCAGCACTCCTTCATCGCTCTCGCCGCTGATGATCACATTGAGGGGTTCGCCCAATCCAACAGCAGTGGTCGTCAGCCACGAGCCACCATTGTCTGTTGGATTTGCGTAGCCAGTGGCAGATTGACGTTTGATGGGGTCCGAGAGCGGGTGGCTGCTGGGCCTGCCGGCAACACGATGCGTCGCGGCGAGAAGCGTGCACGCTGCGAGGACGATTGTTGGCAGTTGCATGTCGTATGTGTGTAGAGGGGATGGATGTGGTAAGGAAAGCAAAAGTGCGAGCGTCCGCGTCCGAATCCCTTGAATGGCCACCCGGTGTCGATCTTGGCGGTGCTCAAGTCGGATGCATGACGAAGCGGCACAACTCAAGCATTGCCAAGCATTCGCAGTATTCAAAAGCGCTTGTCCTCTTGAACTAAGCGCAGAATGCGAGCGGAGTTTGTTGGGACGGGCATTTCCATTCTCGGCGACTTCATCGCTGCCTGCTGGCGTGCTCGTGCTGCTGCTGCGTGCAAGCTGGATGAGTGCATGCATTGCGCATGACAGGTGGCGGTGGGTGGATGGAGTCAGGTGGCGCCATCTGCATACCGTAATCTCCCATCACCATGATCACCCCCAGCAGTCGGCGATGAAAAGGCCAGCTACGATTAACATGGATTGACGTGGCCAGAGGGACTCTGTGCTCACTCGATGACACTGCTTTCACGCCTTGCGGCTCAATTGATTCAACCTTTGCCCAATGATTCAGACTTCACCTTGTTCGCCAGCGATGAAGCGAGACAATCCCTATCGGTGAATGGAAGCAAGCTACGACTGACAGCCGGCTCACTCATCACTCGCCAGCGAAAAGGGACACGCGCCTCTTTCGTCGATCATGACACCACACTTGATCCACAGCGGGTGAACGGCAAATTGCAGATTGTATGGGGAGGTTCAACAGCTGGAGGGGATGGAGGGGGCGCGAATGAAAAGCTCCGGACTGGTGAGTCAGGCGACGCAAGCTACGTTCTGCAAGTCAGGAGTGTAGTCGCTGCGCGGCGGAATGGAAAAGCGTCTGCCCGCTGCCTTGCGTGCTACGCAAGCTCGACGGAGGCGGAGAGCTGAACAGTTGGTGCAGTTCTTCCGCTTCCTCCGCACTCAGCTCGACCAGCGGGGAGGGCGCGCGGCGAGCTTCAGTGGGATGCGACGCGACATGCCAACGTGGGCCCGCAAGATGACTTGCGTGGCCCTCGTTCCAGGGGTGAGGCGCAGGGTGCTCGCCAAACAGCCGACGCAGCTCTTCTCTTTCCTCGGGACTGAAGTCGACCAGCGGCGAATGGACATTTGCAGTCATGCTCGGCGCAGGTGGGGAGACGGACTTTGGCGTGTCAGCTGCACCGTTGTGGTTAGCCAGCGGATGGATGAGAGACGATCCTTTCGATATGGCGCCGTTGTCGGTGCGACTCGATTTGGATCTTCCATTTGGCCCATGTGTGCTTTCGACTCTCTTGCGCTTCGCATCTAGGCTAGGCTTAGAGAGGGATGATCGGGCAATGGGTCCAGTCTTTCGGACCCATGGAAGTCCTTTAGCAGGGCCTTGCTTTGGCTGATCGGGATGCCGGGTCGACATTCTGGTTCTCTGGATAGACGTGTGCGTGGCGGCAATGTCGTTTCGCGTAGAATAGATGATTGCCTTGTCCCCAGGATCTTGAGCCAGCACGACTTTACCTTGGCTGGTGGTGAGGCTCTGACCAGGAGGCAGGTACACTCTGTGGTCCTTGGAGCGATAGCGCTTACCTGTGCTGGTGACACCCAATCCGCGGATGGATTCGCTCTTGCTCTCTTCTCCAAGACTGCCTTGTTGGATAGTACCCTTCAAATGCAAAACGGGCTCTTGCTCGTCGGCTCGAAAACCGGTCTTGATCTACCAGGCCGAGCGCTGGTCATTGATGACTGCCGTGCGACAACGTTCACGGACAAACACTCACCACGAATTCGTCCGCGTCGGGATGATATTTGGAGACGTAGTGTCTGATGGCGCGCTGCTCTGTTGCGGAAGGCTGCCGTTGACCATGCTTGAGCACGATCCTGAAACTGTCCTTGAGGGGCGCAGCAGGGATGTTCTGGACAGCCGCGTGGCTAGCCTTTAGTGGAATTCTGGCACCGCGCGGCACTCTAATCAGGTCCACTACGTCGTTCACTCTGCTATCGCGAAGACGCTTGGCGTCAGGATGGTCCATCGCAACAAAGTCGTTGTGCGTCAACTGGGGGGAATGCACTTTGGGTTGAGAGCGGGTCTCGTCGCTCTCGTACATGACTGGCTGGCCCTGGCCGTTCCTTCTCAATTCTGTCCCGGGAATCGTGTATGCCCGATGCCCAGTGTAGGGTTCCCCTGCGAGGATCCAAGCCAGCTGCGTGTCAGCACGGTCTGGAATTGCTCCACACACATCGGCTTACCTTTGCTGGTCAGGCCACTGCCGAGTATCTGCTTGTCGTCTTTGTCGTACAGCTCCATGGTTGCGTACGGCTCGGGCTCACTAATTTCTCCACGATTCAAGGGGCGCGTGATCTGAACGGTACAAAGGTCAGCTGTCAGCTCGACTCGGAGTCAATCTTTTCGCTCCGTCTCACCCTTGCGAGCCTGGCATCAGGGTGAAAGTTGGCGGCATGGAAAAGGACCGCTTTTTCTGACACCTCCCTAACAACTGCGCTATCAGGTCGCGCTCTGAAACTCGACCAATACACGTTCAGAGGAGTGGCCATCGCACCAGCTCGATTGACGTGCGAAGCGGGCACAAGATGCGCGTCCGCAAAGAGACCGGCGGATGTTGCCGCTCCGCGCAAGGCTTCGTTAGTAGATGCACCGCGCGTCGCGAGGGTCTCGAGGACTGCCAGGGCTGTCAGAGCCCTCATGCCGGACAAAGTTGGCAAGGCCAAGCAGCTCTTCATGGCGAAGTTACGTGATGAGCAGGGCTTGAGCGAAAAGCAGACAAGGAGTGGAAATGAAGAGCGAGAGCGGGGCAGACGAGAAAGACCAAAGAAGGAAGCATTTTATCGATATCCGGTCCCTCTCAAATTTTCGCGCTCTTACCATCCAAGCAGGGATAAGTACGTTATCGATAATAGCGAGTCGGTACCGATAAGGGCAACACCCGTTGCTATCGGCATCGATACAGACATCACCAGAAGCGCTCCACCCAACGCTATGCTGCGCCCGAAGACGTGGCGATGCGAATGTCTTTTCTATTTCGCTCCAAGATTGTGGCGTCGACTCTTTATCAGCGAGCGGGCGGAGGTCGGTCAGGCTCACTGAATTGCCACGGGTTTGCACGCATCTGCACAGAGCATAAGCACAAACAATCCAAACTTGTCATATTATACCGCTGCCGGCGCTGCAGGTGTTCCCGAGTGGTCAAAGGGGTCGGCCTTAAGTTTAGGAATTTTGCCACGCGCGTGCGCGGGGCGACGCACTCCTTTTCATAAAAAATCCGATGCATATGCTTCGTGGGTTCGACCCCCACCACCTGCATCGCAATTTTAGAATTTTGGCGCGTGGCGCGAGGCGCGATTTTCTTTTTACCACTCTGCCCGATACCGGGAGCAACTGCGTGCATTCTCATCGGGTATAGACTCTACTCATCGCCCAGCCAAGAGACAACTTTTCACGCTCCCGCTCGCCTGTCACCATCGCGGGCAACAAGCGTGAGGGCGCGCGCGCGCGCGCGGCTAGGCGGGCGGGCGGGCACTTGAAGATGCATCCTCCACATTCGCGATTTTGCTGCAGGAAACCATACCGCAACGATGAGCGTGCGGTGCGTGCTTTCAACAGCGAGGTGACAGAGACACCGTTATTAGTAGTCGTGAGTGGAAGGCATCGTCTCGAGTCCGCGCGACAGGCAAGGTATCAAGCGCGGGAGACATTGATGTATTTGAAGATGACAAGGTGTCAACTTGGTGGATGGATAGCTAGCTACATGTGCGACCGCGCGTGTGCGTGCGCGAGAGCCAGGGGCTTGGCTGATTTTTCAGGTCACGAGAATCACTGGGGTGCTCGCGCTGTGCTGCCGATAAGCTGTCACGTGTATGCGCGCGGCGCGCGCGTCATAGCGATGTACATGTTTCACCTAGATCTTGACTCGGCAATACCATCATCTTACCTCGCAAACTGGCGTGAAATAAGCTGGCCAGATTGTCAATGCTGCCGAAAAGCTGGATGCGCAGACTTTTGTCCTGACAAGACTTTTGAGACGACGTTGACTGCAGGTGCGCACGCCAGATTGTGCCCTGGTGGCGAATGCTCAATTCGAATCGCGCGCGCAATGGCGCGATCTCTGCTGCTTGGTGTGCAGGCGAGCCTTTGTCGGTCGTCGTTCTGCGGTGCGAGTGAACGACAATAGAAAGGAGCGACGTGCGCGAGTGCACGGGCGGCGCGGCGACAACAGAAAGGAGCGATGTGAATCAGCGGGGGCGCAATGGTACAAGCTTGACGGCAGCGGCGACGCTCACGTCCTCATGGCACGAGGGGAGCAAACGGCAACGGCGACGCGCATGTCCTCCAACCGACGCTCACGTCTTCACATCGAGTGCGTGCAACGGCGGCGACGCTCATGTCCTCACATCGAGTGCGCGCGACTGACGACGAGCATTCTCATCGCACTGGCCGCGCCGCTGACAACTACTTTATCGCACTGACGGCAACGTCGACGGCGGACGTCTTTGCACTGACGGCAACGTCGACGGCGCAAGCCAATGCCATCCACCGCAGGGTAGCTCCTCAGCCCCTCCGCAGATGCGCGATCCGACTACTATGGCACCAAGTTACTGAGACATTCATTTTTCGTGGTAGGAAGTAGGTTTCCTAGCTACATGAGTGATCCTTTTATAGGATCTGCAGGCGTGCAGCCGCGCGCGCCACAAGGTTCTGACACCAAGCAAGTAGCCTCTGTTTGATGCTCTCAATGAGTGGCGAGGCGTCGACGAACGCGAGGTGGCAGAGACGAGGTGATGGTGAGGGCGAGGCGATGGCGGTGACCGCAACAATGGCGATGATAATGGCAACGACAGAATGCGACAGCATACAACAAACGACAATTTCACACACCATCACAATGACTCCTCACGCTGCTCACGCCGACAGACCACATCTAAAGCCTCGCACATACTTACACGGGTGTGTCCCCTCGATTACCTGACATCCATCGCCGCCGTCGCCCAAAGGCGTTTGCTACCCATGCTCAACTCACTTTTTGGCATAGCACTTGCCTATACCAACCCTGCCCGCCTTGGACGAGCTGCAACCGGCACCTTTAAAGCCTCGACCAACTCTTGATATGCCCGAGTGGGCATACTGTCGCAGGTGATGGCTCGTGATGACGAGGCGAGCAAGAAAATGGGCTCGACCAGCTGGATACGTCGTGTGATGACGAGGCGCGCAGCACGAGTCGATCGAATGCGTCGATGCGCCGGTGCGGATGGCTCGTGGCGACGAAACGCGCGAGACGGGGCTGACTCGGTCACGTGAATGCGTCGATGCGTCGATGCGTCGATGCGTCGGTGCGTTGTCTGGTGGATTCGTAGCGGCGAGGCGAGCGAGACGGTGCGAGCGTTAGCTGAAGGCGTCGGTGGGTGGATGCGTCGTCTCGGAATCGATGGTCGTTCAGCTGAATGCGTCGGTACTCGTTGGCAATGACTGCTCGGCTGAGCTCGTCGGGGCGTTTGGATCGCTCAATGGTGCGATGAATTGCTCAGCTGGGGCGTCCGCGCGGTGATTGCGAGGACAGAGCGTGGTGCGTGGTCACGACGCAAGGCGAGACGTTGCTGACTCGGTCACTCGAATGCGTCGGTGCATCAGGGGCTCGATGCGTCGGTGCGTGGATTCCGGTGCGTGGAACCGTCGATGCGATGATACGTCAATTCATTGACAAAAGCGACCTCGGCCTGCGGATGTTAATGAAGCGGGCGAGAAAGGGAGATCAGTGAGCGATTTGAATCGGTGCGGGTGAATCGAGGCGATGAGGCAAGCAAGCAAGCAAGCTGGCTCAGCCAATTGACTGGGTGCGTCGGTGCGTCGGTGATGACGAGGCGACCGTCACTCGGATGGATGGCTCGTCTCAGAGGGGATGGTGTTGGTGCGTGCCAATCGCTTGACGGTGCGGTGATCGCTCGGCTGAATGCGTTGGTGTGGTGATGACGAGGCGGGCGCGACAAGGCAATGGAGGCGATGAGTCGGTGCGTGCGATGGTGCGGGTGGCTTGTGGTGACGACAAGAGTGTCGATGCGCGGGGCGTGGTGACGAGGCGAGCAACGCGAAGCGATGATCGCCAGCGTCGGTGTGTCGGTGCGTGCGGAAGGTTGATAGGTGCGATGTTCGCTGAGCTGAATACGTCGGGGCGTGCGGATGGATGCGTCGGTGCGTGCGCTGGTTCGTGGTGACGAGACGAGCGTCGACTGAATGTGTCGGTGCGTCGGTGCGTGGATTTGTCGATGCGGTAGTGCGTCGATTCGTCAACAAAGCGACCTGAGCCAACCCAATGCCTGCGTTTGTTGATGAGGCGGGCGAGAAAGCGAGCTCAGCGAGCGAGTTGAATGGGTGCGGTAAGCGAGACAGCGCGACGAGCAAGCACGCGGGTTCGGCCATAAGGATGCGTCGTTCCGACTGACTCGTGACGACGAGGCGAGCGAGAAGGTGCGAGCGTCGGTATGTGGTGATGAGACAGAGCGTGATGCGTGGTGAGGCGGCGAGGCTCGGCTGAATGTGTTGGTGTGTTGATGCGTCGGTGCGTCGTCTCAGGAGTGATGACTGAAAGCGTCTTTGAGAGCGTTGGTGCGGTGACGAGGCAAGCGCGTGCGTTGGTGTGGTGACGACGAGACGATCAAGGCAATGATTCGGTGCGTTGGTGCGTCGGCGCCCGCCGACCGATGAGTGAGATGCGTGGATGCGTCGGTGATGGTGACGGGGCGAGCGTCGAGGGAATGCGATGGTGCCGGTGGGCGATGTACGTCTGGCCCGCCCGAGCCGACACTCCCTACAATGCTCCCCCTCGTGACTCAAGTTTGCGCAAAAGGACCTCCCCTCCGAAGACCGCACGACAAGGTGATGAACAACGTGCGTGCGACGGTCAGCACACCGATCCTCTAGCGTCAAGGAGCGTGCGTGCGATCCTGATCACAGAGTGTGCGGGATGGCGATGACAAGGCGAGTGACAGTGTCTATGACGAGCGTGTGCGCAGTGGAGAGCGATGACGGCGACGGCGACGGCGCGATGCCAGCGAGCACAGCATGACGAGCAGCAGCAGGGACTTGACAGGGGGAGCTTTGCTTCACATCGTAGCAGCAGTGCTGGTGAGTAACGGTCGCATCAGTTGTGCGCGCACACGAGAGAGGGAGGGCGGGGAGGCTGATAGCAGGTCGCAATCGGGCAACAAAGCGAGCAGGGGGCCTCGTTTTTGGCAGGGGTCTTCACTTTGGGTGGAGTCCACGGTTTTTGGCAGGGGTCTTTGGCTGCACGCGTGCTTGCGCGTGCATGAACATGCATAGCAGGAGTCCTAGGTTCATTTGGCGGAAGTCCTCGATTTTTGGCAGAAGTCCTCGCCTGCACGCGTGCATGAACGTGCATAGCAGGGGTCCTTGCGATTCGGCAGGAGTCCTCGGTCTTTGGCAGGAGTCTTAGGTGCTGCACGCGTGCTCGCTTTGGGTGTAGTCTTCGGTTTTTGCCACGGGGGGTCTCAAGTCACGTGCATTGTAACGCGCGCCGCCGTAGGTGCATTTGTAGTCGAGTCCTCAATTCGATTCGGCAAAGGGCGGGGTACCATCGATGACCCATTCGTGCTGGCAACGTGCGCAAAGCGCGAGGGATTGCGATTGCGATGTGGGGTCACGATCGCGGGTGGAGAGCAATCGCGTCAGCACCCTATATATATGCCCCAAGGCTTTTAACGACGCAAAAGCGGAATGCGCAGATGTTTGACTGGATGCCTCTCGCACGATGGAACCAATTGAGATGCGTCCCTATGTCAACGTGACGTCCGTTGTCTACGGGCGTACAGGCGCGTGTGGCTACATGTGTGGCGCCTCTTTTGTACAGACAGAGTCCCTTTATACCGAGGTACCCTACGGTGTACCTCCTTTGTAGCCAAACCATTCCTCGGTGGGGACTGACTATTGTCAAAGAACCTATAGCACAACCCTATGGCACTCTCACATGTATAAATACCCCATGCTGAGACTTAGATCTCATTTGAATCAGTACCTATGCAAAGATCTCTTGTCTTAGTCGCTTACAGCTGACTGAACACGTGACCAAACCCCGCTTATTCCATATTGCTTGCTAGCCCCGCTCACCGGGCAAAACACAGACAAACGCCCCGCCAAAAGACGCGTACGGAGGTCCGCAGATCCACAGACTTCCACTTTTACACCATAAAAGCGCGCAGACAAATGCGTGCCATACGTGCCATACGCGCCCGCCTGCACGCACAGGTTTTGACTGTGAGATCAAATTTGATCCCACATGCACGCACGCACGCATGCACGCCATACCCGCTGCCATATGCGCCATACGGCTTGGCTGTGAGATCAAATTTGATCCTGCACGCACACAGGGACGCATGCACACATGTTCAGATACAGATGTGTGCTGCAATCTGTCTGGCTGTGAGATCAAACTTGGTCCCACACCCAAGCACACAAGCGCAGGCTCTGGCTCACGCATGCACCAGTCTGGCAGTACAAGGATACCCAATGGGATGGTGTGGCTTTGTTGTCACCTTTGTGAGCCCTGTCCATGGCTGTGAGG